ATTTAGAGGAATTTATTTAAGACCAGTAAAAAATACCGAAGAATTTAAACTTGTTCCTATTAGACTCTCTTTCACCAACTTCGATTAACACTAATCATCACGATTGCCAATGTGAGAACTAAACACAGTTTATCTTAAAAGAGGAAGAAAGAGGAGATCTGATACATTAAACTACTATTGGTACTTCTACGAATTGATCGATTAGTAAAATCAGAAATCCTGAAGGCGGTCCTTAGTGCTTTGATTGGAGCTTTATGTTATAAGTGTACATTGAAATTGCAAGTATAATTAAAATAATGATTATGTAATATTAACTTAAACAATTAGCTTACATCTATTTATTTGTTTTAGTATAACTGTATATTAAAATGAGTCAAATGCAGATAGACACATACAATTTTGTGACATATTAATAGAACGATTGCCTTTTGAAAGGATACACTAATAGAGACAAAAACATTTTCTTTATTTTTATTAAAAACATTATAAAAACATTATTAAAAAATATATGAAAAAGGAAATAATACAAAAACCAACATTAATTTCAAGCAGACAAAATTAAAGCTATATTAATAATAATTAATTCAGTAATGAGCAAGTTGACTTAAAGGCATGCTAATAGAGACAGTTATCCTAGTCAAAAGACATCAGCATGTATTATAATATATTTATCAAAACAGAGTTCCAATCAAGATCCTTTCAAGAAGTCTTTAAAGAAGATCGCTTTTGCAACCGGCCGTGAATTTTTTCGCGCGTCAACGGCTTAGGTGAGCGATTCTCGAAAGTACGTGCGTATCCGGACGGCGAATGGACACGACGGCGGGGATTAGAATCGCATGCGCTGGAATGGACCGCGCCCTGTTCGCTTTTCATCTCGTGATTCCGCTGTGTTTCTTTCTCTCTCCCTCTCTCTTTTACCGTCTATTCTCGCTCATGCTCACGTACACATATACGTCATCTTATCGTGCACCTATAAACACACAGGGCTGCCATAATACTCTGGCCGGCACGTGTGGTCCACAATGCGAGTTCCCAGAGCGGAGTGGCGTAGGCGTAGGCGCCTTCTCTGCGCGCTTAAACGCACACGCACACGCGTATATTGTACACGTGGGGTCCGTGGAGATACGAGCGCGTGGTGAGGTATGGCATACTGGGAAGCTTCCGTTTTAACATTGTACTACATCCGTGCGCTGTGTAGATGCCCGCGTGTCTACGTGCATGCGTGAGCGTAGGGCATACACGGTGCTCACATGGGCCATGGATCATGGGGCTCACACTCTCTATCCTGCTAAACGGTAAACCGATCTGTGAACATTTC